TATCCTAACCCGTCTAAGAACCCACTCCCAAGAACTGCAAGTCATTCCAGACGAGCAGTCCGCCTTCCGACCCAATCACTCCACTGAACTCCAAATCCTTCGCCTTACCGAGCACATCACGGCGGCCTTCAACAGAGGACAGTACACTGGTGCTGTCTTCCTTGACGTCGTAAAGGCCTTCGATACGGTTTGGCATGAAGACCTGCTGACGAAAATGCTCACCAACCAATATCCCATATCCTTTACCAAACTCATAAAATCCTACCTACACCACCGAAAATTCCGCATCCAAATCCAAGATTCCCTTTCCACCACCCGTCCCATGGAGGCCGGTGTCCCCCAGGGCACCGTNCACCTTTAAAGAGAATTGAATTTATTACAATTTATACAGTTCTATAAAAGTATTACTAAATAATCAAATAAAATTCTGTAAAGGACACTGCAAATAAATTCATGCGTTGATTAAAAATAGTACATACTTCAGTCAACGATTTATATTTATTTTACAGTAGTCACTAATTTATATTGCAAATAACCTCCAATAAAAGAATATACTAATCTATAAATGTAAATTGGAAACATTTTAAAAATTTTAATTCTGGTTAAGTAAATGCGAAATTACCTGGCTGCCTTAATGTGATTTGAACTTCAGAATATATATTGGGTGTATTGCATTCAGTAGAAGTGCTTGGAATAGGATCTGGTACTTCCAAATGAGTTTCTGTTTCACAACTTCCATATTTATAAAGCGAATTTTCCTGTGTCGGACTTTCATGAAAATCTAAAGTACACATACAAAAATATTGACACAATATTTTATTTAGTTTTTATATATTTACCTGGCAAAAATAATATGGGCAAACTTCCATATTTTAACTTTTTCTCCCCAGGAGTTCGACAAAATTCACTGCTTATCGCATACTCTGTATCTCCTATAAGCAATTTGAGGATCAAGACTTCAGTGTATGATTACCAATCCTCTTTACCCAAATATCGTATACCTGAAAGAAAGTGTAATAAAAATATTGTATATAGGTTACAAATTTACGGTACAATTGTTTCCTTTATATATAAGCGTTTTAATTCTTACTTACATTTTCATCACAATTCGGTCCACAACACACAAAAACCATTGTCCTATTATAGTTTATAATCAATTAACAATAAATAAAATACAACAATACCACAAAACCATCCACAAAACAAAATAAATTCAAATAGTAAATGATAAACTTGGTTCCTGTTTTATTAACAACACCCAAGATTCCTAGATGCCAGCGCCAAAATGGCAAGTGTATGAACTATTGCGTAATCCTCCCCCACCAGTCCCACCACAGAGACTACAGAGAGTGCACAGCCCCTGATATATGGTATATACTAACCTAGAAATCAAAATAAATATTGCAATTTGTTTTATAAAATTTAATAAATAAAAAGTTTGGAAAATAATTTAAATATGGGAAGAGTATGTGCAGTGAATGACTGTAAAAGTGGTAGGGTTAGTGATAATAAGCGACGGAGTCAAATGGGTTTAAGAAAACCAGTACTTTTTAAAGTGCCAAAAGTAAGTAAAATATTCAATAAAAATATGTGCAAGATCAGAATAGTACCTAAATATTGTTTCAAAAACAAATAATTGGAATATAAAGATAGCAATCATTTGAAATATTTTTCATGCCCTAACTATAGAGGGTGTTAAAAAAAGAGTGTAAAATATTTCAGGAGGTAATAGTATGAACCAAAATAAGCATAAAAGTCTAAATAAACATGGGTCCGCAAAGTAACGGTTGCGGAGATATGGACCACTATTCAGTTTTCAAACATTTTATTTTATTAGGAATAAACTGACAAAGGAAGCTTTTAACAAACAAAAAACAAAGTTACAGATGTTCAAAGTGCCCTCCGTCCATTTCCAAGCAGGCACGACATCTTCGTCTCAACGATATTTAAACTCTTTGGAAAACACCCTCCTTGGTTTGGATTTCTTGACACTTTTGATTAATCCGTAGCTGCAGCTCTTCCAGGCTATTTACAGGAGTACCATACACTAATGTCTTCAAATATCCCCAAACAAAGAAATCTAGAGTGTTCAGATCAGGCGATCTTGGAGGCCATAAAATAGGTCCGGCCCTTCCTACCCATCTATGTGGAAAAGTTTGGTGTAAATGCTCTCTAACGGCCATGGAAAAATGAGCTGGAGCACCATCATGCTGGAACCACATTTGTTGCCTCTGATTCAAAGGAATGTCTTCCAAAAACTCATACAGTGTGATCTGCAGAAAGTTGAGGTAAGCAGAACCTGTTAATCGGTTTGGTAAAACAACAGGACCTAGAAATTCTGCTCTACCAGTGCTAGAATTTCTACTTCTGCTCTAGGAGTGGATACCGACCTTGGTCTTCCGGATAAATGGCACTGTTTGCTCAAGGTACCGGTATCACGCAATCTTTGCTGAATTCTTCCAAACATGCGTTGTGAAGGAATCTGGCGATTTGGATAAGCGTCAACATAAAGACGTCGCTCTTCGGTGGCGTTCCCATTAGCACGACCATACATGAAATGCATGTCTGTTAATTCTGCGTTAAGTAACCAGCCATAGCGAAAGAAAACTTGTGCACTGAGAACAACTGTCAAATACGTACTGTTTATTTCACTAAACATCAACCAACTATTATAAGAAAATACACGTTTTTGCAAAATAAAAAAAGGGGCTAAAAAACATAAAACATTCCATATCTCTGCAACCGTTACTTTGCGGACCCATGTTTATTGAGACTTTTCTTCTTATTTTGGTTCATACTATTACCTCCTTAAATATTTTACACTATTTTTTAACACCCTGTATAATAATTGTTTAATATTATATTCAATAGAGCCCAACAAAACGTCAGCAATGGATAAAAAATCTGTCGACAGATTTAAATGAAAATCAGTATATTTGCGATCTGCATTTTCAATCTAATGATGTCCAGCAGTTTTATATTACAACTTTACCGAACGGTGAGGTTAATGTTATGACAAAAGGTCGAATAACTCGGAAGTTGGAAGCAGCTCCTTTGATTCTCAATAAGGTAGAGAAATTTTTTAATAGAAATATTTCATAAGTGAAAATATTGTACAATGGAATGATACGTTGTTTCTTTATATATCTTGCAGGAGCAAAAACAAGAGCATCTGCTACACCAGCAACAACAGGTGAAGCAGCTACAACAAGAACAGCAGTTGCAACAACAACAACAAGAACAGCAAGTAATTCAAAAGCAATTAAGTTACGATGAAATTATAGTAGAAAAAAATCAGCATCCTGCATCTTCTAATAAAAACAAAGTTCTGCTGGCGTGTGACGAGGTATCGACAAAGCGACGAAAATGTTCAGAGCATGATATTGATAATATCGACAAGGTATACTTGAATTATTTCTACATATTTTCGTAATTTATATTACATGCATAAATATTTAAATTCGTGTCTTTCAGACGAGTCTTGATGGTGATATAGGTATTATCATTACTGAATTGAATAAATCATTTCCAATCGGTTGGTGTTTCTTCCCTGATGGTAAAAAACTGATTGCAATTCAGTTAGATCGAATCAAATTTAAAGAGAGGATACGTGTAGTAATCAATGCTGATCGATCTGTGATGGTAATAGACTACTTTTACTAAATATTTAAGAAATGTTTAGTTTTAAGTTTTTTTGTAATTAATCAGTTGATAGAAGAATGTAATAAACTTGGAATTATTATAGGTCACTTATGTTGAACGTTGTCAAATCAAAATGGATATACAGATTCGGTTTATCAATGATTTAATTAATTTTTTGAAATCGATGGAACATAAAAAATTATGTGCTGGCACAGGATTTGTCAAAAAAAGGTAGTATTTTTTGTTATATTCTTTCAAAATAGTTAGTAATAGTTACAATGTACTTATAAGTAATGTTTGTAAATTAGTTACTCATTGAAATGCCTTGGTGATGTCAGCGATCTGTACAAACGTTGCCAATCTTACCCGAGATGTCCTGAGTGTCGCAAACTTCGTTTATTGTTACAAAAAATTGAAAAAAATGAATTGAGAACCGAAAACAAAACTACCAAGAGTAAAGCTAAAGATACTAAGATAAAGTTTATAGAAAAAACACGGGGGTATACAATAGCAGGTACTTTCTAAAATTTCTTCGTTTTTACTTTATGAATATTTATGAATATATTTTTTAAAACATTTAAGTACTTTTAATATTAAAAAAATAATATTAATATTTTAGTCAATGAATGTATTAAATTGTAAAAAATTATTTTTTCAGGCTGTAAATATACAACTGCGAAGTGTCTAGAAGACCATGATTATGATGTATCAACAAGTGAGGAAGTCCAAGCAATATGACGGTTTATTGTGGGCCAGTGATGGTTTATTTAAGCTCACAATGCACTTAGAAGCAGCTTTTTTAGACGTCGTTAGCAGAGTCAGACAGAGAATTATTAAACAGGGTTGAGAAGGTACTACCACAATTGATTCGTTGGGTATTCGATTCATCAGCATGAAAGAACAAGAGAAATTATTGATTTTTACTTAACTATGAGGGTTCACTTTTAAAGTAAGACATTTAATAAAAAAAAATCAATTTGAAGAAAACAAAAACTGAGAAAAAACGCCAAACTTGTATAAACAGCAATCACTGATTAATACAATGTTAAAATTATATTTAACTTAGTTTCTATTTCAGTGTAAATAATTTATGTAAAATACCTTGCAGAATATGTAATATTTAATGTTAAATAGTAGTAGTTAATTAACTGTTTTATAATCTTAAATTTATATATTTATGTGAAGGACTGTTGGGAATATCCAAAATTAAATGTTAATGGGATTTTATTCGATAATTTTTTTTAATTACTTTTTTTATTTAATTAGTTCTTTAATCTAACTTTACAAGTTTTAAATATCTGTTTATTAAATTAGACTAAATAATTTTTTTATAATTTTTATTCCTGTTGGCTTATTATTTGATTAATTAATTAATTAAATGAATCAATTAGTGATCGTAATTTCATTTAAAAAATCGAATTTTATATTCAATTAATATTTTTTTTATTATTCATTTAGTTTTTTTTATTACAATTTTAAAATTTTTAACACATCATAAAAACGACATGATTGATTTTTTATTAAACTGCCATTTTATCTCGCCTCCAACATTTTGGTCCATATGGTATACTAGTGCACTCTAATTTCGTAAGATGTTTGTTTACTCGGAGTTCGTTCTCCTTATGTAGTCTCCCTGTATTTCACCATGGGTAGGTAGACTGATAGAAATAACTCATTTAGAGGGAAAAAAATTATATTTAGAAAGAGTTCTGCTGGTGCTTATTTTTTTCGTATTGACATACTTTTGGGTAAATTAAAAAAAATGTATAATCGCAATTCAAAAACATATTCAAAAATGCAAAAAAAGAGAATGACTTGCAACGATGAATTTTTCAGTAATTAATTGTTGATATTTTTTTTATATACAGGCTGTTTCAAATTCGCCTCTTACTACAGGGATCTCGGAAACGGTAAGAGATACAGAGTAGCTTAAATGGAGGCAAAGTTTCGTAATCAGGGGACCAACATTATGCCTCTAAAAAATCAAGGCTAACATGATTAGTTTTCGAAATATTTGAAAAAAAAAACGATATTTTGGAAATCCGTTTTTGTTTAATTTCAGCCTTGTTTGAGGTGATATTGAAAAAAGAAGAACACTTTCTCATGACCACTTTTTGCCTCTATCGAATGGCATAATCAATTTTTATGGGTAATGTTTCGTCTCTCCAGGACCATCATCAACTTCATTTTTTTAAATGCGACTGGAAATTTTATTACATTTTTTGCAAGCTGTACTGCTCAGCTCGAACCAGATTCATATGTTTTGTCTCTAAATATTCATCTTCAATGTATTCATTCTAAATTTATCTTAATTTTTTTTAAGATATATGTTTCTTGAATTATCATACACTCTTAAGTGTCGTTAGATCCTGTGAAATTCACCCAGTTATTTAAACTATTGACATTCCACGTTACAATTATTAGAGTTTTAATCTCCATCACCTGGTCATACATAATTCGATAAGTTGTTGCGTCAAAATTAAAATATTACTACAATTTTAATTTCATTATGACAAATTAATTCTTAAAAATGCATATGAACAACCAAAACTCCAAATAAATATTATACTTTAAAAAATTACAGTAAATGTTCAAAAACGAAATAGCATGTCGGATGTATTTGTATGAATATCCTGAAAAAAATTAGATCAAAATTTGTTTGAATTTTGAGCACTCGAGAAACCTAGAAATAACTATGACCATGGGATTAAAACTCTAATAATGTAATGTATGATAGTAATAGTTTAAGGAGGTGATTTGGAATTGACGAACAAATTCATAAAAAAATTAATATAAGCTTATTAATATGAAGAAAATCCTCAAAAAAAATTATGACTAGTTTGGATACCTAAGAGAGGAGATATTAATAAAATAATTTTTCACAATTTAGTACAAAGTCTTATGAGAATGCAGATTTTTTGGTCTTTCCACTTAGAATGCGCAACAATTGACGAACAGTTTCCACAGCAACTTGTATAAATAGGAAACCGATATCTAAGGAACCATATGACAACTTGTAGAAATCGATTAGGTACTTGTAAGATACATAATTTATAATAATTCTTCTTCAAACTGCTGTCGTTGACTAACTTGTCCATAGTCTCCATGAACTTGTCCTTCATATGCGTGATAGCGGCAACGCCGTGATCTCGACGTAGCGTATTATTTGAAATTTGCAGGTGTTCAAACAAACAGAATGATCGAACGGGAGCGAGTGAACGCAGAGTCGAGCGCGCCAGCCAAGTGCAACGTTGCCAAATCTAAAGGCTTACTACTTTAGTCACTAGCAAATCTACAGAAACTTTCGTTAGATTTTAGACGTACCTCCGTATCCGATAAACCTCCTTAAATAACTAGATGGATTTCACAGGGTCTAGCGACACTTAAGAGTGTACGATAATTCAAGAAACATAGAAATCTAAAAAAAAAATTAGATAAATTTGGAACGAATACATTGAAGATGAATTTTTCGAACAAAACATCTGAATCTGGTTCGGGCCGAGGCAGTACAATGTTGGGGCTCATGAAGGCTTGCAAAAAATTTGTCGTATTTAAAAAAATTAAGTTGATGGTCCTGGAGACGAAACGTTACATAAAAAAATTGATTATGCCATTCGATAGAAGGCAAAAAGTGGCCATGAGGAAGTGTTCTTTTTTTAATATCACCTCAAACAAGGCTGAAGTTAAAGAAAAACGGATATCCAAAATTTCGGTTTTTCTCACATATTTCGAAAACTAATCATGTTAGCCTTGATTTTTTAGAGGCATAATGTTGGTCCCCTAATTACGCAACTTTGCCACCATTTAAGCTACTTCGTATCTCTTACCGTTTCCGAGATACCTGTAGTAAGAAGCAAATTTGTAACAACCTGTATATTTATATTTACATCAGGGCCGGATGGAATTCCGGCGTTTTTGTAAAAGATTATGCTAACGTTTTATACAAGCCTTTAACGTTCATTTTTAACTTATCACTAGGTTCTTTAGTATTTCCTACACTATGGAAATAGTCAAAGATCTGTCCTATTTTTAAAAAAGATGACAAAACTCTAATTGAGAATTACAGGCCGGTAGCAATCTTATCCAATTTTAGCAAATTATTTGAAATTGTTTTATATGAATACAAGGCTTTTAATTTTAAATCTCTGATTTCTCCAAATTAACATGGCTTCACGACAGGTAGGTCCACAGTATCAAATTTAGTATGTTTTAATCAGCATGTATCAGAAGTCTTAGACACGGGAGGTCAGATTGACGTTATTTATACTGATCTGTCTAAAGCGTTTGACAGACTTGACCATGGTTTCTTACTGGAAAAATTATTTTCTTATGGCTTAACACTAAATTTTACTCATTTTCTGCAGTCCTATTTGTCTCATAGAATATTACATGTTCAGTACCGTGGTTTCAAGTCTGTTAATATACACGCAACGTCAGGTGTCCCTCAAGGTTCGGTTTTAGGACCACTTTTGTTTAATTTATTCATAAACGACATAAATATGAATATTGACAGTAATACATTATTGTATGCAGATGACCTAAAATTGTTCAGGAGTATCGAAAACGTCGAGGACTGTTTGAAACTGCAATCTGATCTATTAGCGGTTAACTCTTGGTGTGACACTAACTGCCTGCCACTTAATATCAAAAAATGTTTTTGTATGTCATTTTCTAGAAAGACCAATTTTAATTCTATTAAGTATGCATATAACATTGATACTGTATGTTTAACAAAATGTGACCAATTTAAAGATTTAGGTGTTTTGTTCGACTCCAGACTAACTTTTGCTAATCATATTAATGTCATTACCAAAAGAGCCTATAAATCTCTTGGATTTATCATTCGCAACTCTAAACAGTTCTCGGTGAACACTATTAAACTGCTTTATTATTCACTGGTTCGTTCTAAACTTGAATATGCTAATGTGGTATGGAATCCAGGCTATGAAGTTCATAAAAACAGTCTAGAAAAGATTCAGAGGCAATTTCTTAAATACCTAAGTGTCAAATCTGATAATACCTATCCACCTCGCGGAATCCCTCAATCCCAAACTATTAACCAGGTTTCAACTTAATGACATTAGCTCAAAGAAGGCTCTATTTTTCTGTTTTGTATTTGTTTAAGATTGTAAATGGGATGACTGATTGTAGGGAATTACTAGAGTATTTGAATTTTAATATTTTGGGATGTAGAACTCGCTACATTTATTTATTTTATTTGAAGAGACCAAGAACAAATATTCTTAAATTTTCTCCAATAAAAAATGTTATGTGCACAAATTATCATCGTTATCTGGATCATCTTGATATTTTTTGTTGTAATGCTCCCAGTATTAAAATATGTATCCTCAATAGAAGTTAGGTCGCTATTTTTATGTATTTATAGTGTGTATTTTCTATTTGTGTTTTAATTATGTTAATGCAAATATTATGTTTTTTTTTTAATATGTATTATACCTGCCTTATAATTGGGCTCCGTCCTGTCTTAAAGTTGTTTCCAAATAAATAAATAAATAAATAAATATTTAAAAAAAAAATCAAAAACTGATTAGTGATTACTGTATTTCATTGTTTGACTGTAAACTTTATTTTTGTACAGGATTATCATCTAAGTCGAATAATTTTGGTATACTTTCATCAACTTTGGACAAAATTAAATTATTTTTGCGGAAAATACGATTTTTCGCATTTTCTTCGGAAATTTTGAGGTTATGTTACAAAGTGACCTCTGCAAAACTTGTAGATTTTTGCATATTTGTATTAGATACTATTTTGTTTCGACATCAACTTTCTCCGGAAATCGCAATACGATTTTTCACCCCTTTTCAACACCTCAAATCAACCCTCCACCAATCCCGTTCACCCATTTATTTATTTTTACGTTTATTATAAGCCCCTTTAGCCATTTCTACTTATAAAAGTCCAGGTAACAATTCTTTTTTCTCTAAGTGTAATTTAATAAATTAAAAGAAATTTAATTTAAACACCTCTTATTTGAAGAGCAGTTGTGGGCTAAACACACTTGGAAATAACAATAAGTAATCAAACTACAAAGTTCAATTGTGGAATTTACGTTTACATATTATCGTCTGTTTCTTGGTATTCATGTTTATTAAATAAAAAAATCTCTAAAACGTTAAGGAAAAAGAACCCCGCACAAAATGAATGGAAATTGGGTCCCTCTAGATTTGGCTAGAATTGTGATATGTTATAGTTCTCGACATTCTGATGAAAAGTTGTCACGGGCCCAAAGTGATCCTATGGATAGTTTTAGAGATATAGAGGGGGGAAGTGTGTGGTTTTGGCTGTAGGACTGAGTAAGCTTCACGAAGTTTCAAGTTGATGGATTCAAAAGCAGAGGCATGTAATGAATTTTGACCAATAAGTACAATGCTTTTGAGGTCGCTGAACCTGAATTCGGGGATAGCTTGAATTGAGATTAAATCAAATGAAATGATGACCTTATAGGGCTAAGCTATCCGTGAATTCAGGTTCAGCAACCTCAAAAGCATACATACTTACAGGTTAACATTCGTGAAAGGCCTTGTCTTTTTTACTTTGACCTTGAAATGATCTTGACCTTGACCTAAATGTGACCTTGTAGGGTTAAGCTATCGCCAAATTCAGTTCCTCCCCAAAAAAACTTATATAGGCACTGGTTGAAATTCATTACAAGCCTTTTCTTTAGTTTCATCTTGAAATGACCTTGAATTGTCTTGAAGGTGACCTTTAGAGTTACGCTATCTCCAGATTCAGATTCTGTGAGCCCAAAAACCTATACACACTGGTCAAAATTCAATACAAGTGTTTTCTTCAGTTTCACTTGAAACGACCTTTACCTGACCTCCAGGTAACCTTAGATAGCTAAGTTATCCAAGAATTCAGGTTCAGCGATCTCAAAAGCATTGTACCTACTGGTCAAAATTCATTACATGTCTCAGTTTTTGAATCCATCAACTTGAAACTTCGTGAAGCTTACTCAGTCCTACAGCCAAAATCACACATTTCCCCCCTCTATATGTCTGAAACTATCAATAGGATCACTTTAGGCCCATGACAACTTTTCATCAGAATGTCGAGAACTATAACATAATAATATCACAATTCCAGCCAAATCTAGCGGAACCCAATTTCTATTCATTTTGTGCGGGGTCCTTTAATTGTAAATTTACACAAAAAGAAATGAGAAAAATGTCTATTCAGAAAGTTCATCAAGTACGGTTATTGGCACATGAACAACAAATATATTAACAATAATTCAATAGAAACGCATGTACTAATAGAAACGACAATTTGCAAAAATGTATTCCATATTCTAGGCAAACATTGACTTATCCGTCATTACCGTTTACGAGGCGTAAGACAAAACTATTGTAAAATTTGTAGATAAAATGAAAGTGAAATATTTAACGACGACTGAACGTAAGCTAAGTTGCTCATCAGAAATGTTTATTATTTTTATATTGTAAATTTTGAAAAATAGGAATAAGTATTTTTGTTTTATAATAAAAACATAATTTGAGTATATTAACAAATTTGTTACAATTGTTATGTTGTGTAGTAATGTAAATATTAATAAAATGTAGGTATGATCATATTTTGGTTCTAATGAACTATCAAATTTATTATTAACAAATTTATCTAATATTTTTAATTCTTTTGCAGTAGATGCTTTTAAAATTATTAAAGTTTCTTTAAGGGCCTTTTCTTTAGTAGAAAAGAACGAATGGAATCCTCCAAGTATTTTCTTAGAGTATTATTATATTTAAAGTTGACATTGCAATCAATGCACGTAAAGTTTCTAAAAAGGTTTTATGTTGTAGGATAGGTCATAAATGTCCAAGTCCCACTGGACCATTTCACACTTAATTGGATCCGGTTACCCGGCAGCAAGGTCTATAGAGTCTTATGGCAGCTTTCACAAGTGACAGAAGGAGCTATCTGGCAAAAGGCCGGCAGGTTGTAGTCGGTCGCCACCATTGCCAGCCCGGCTGCCGTACACCGGCTAACTGGCGACCGAAGTTAGTGCATGGTTTTTTATTGAAGCTTTCACACTTGCCGGGTGCTTACTGGGTTCAGAAGTCCGGTTTCATTGAAAAGAACAGGTCAATTATTTTAAATATTCGTACGCAACTATGTCGAATGTTTGTACGACAGAAATAGATATTGAATACTTTATATCACTGGTTGAAGCCGGACCTGTCCTGTGGGACAAAACTACTAATAAAACCTTTGATTATTTTTACTACGACGACATCGGCAATAGCCAAGCCAAATAATTGCAATGCATCTACAATCCATCCCTTGTGATAAAAATGCAACCGAGACTAATATCAGCCAAACCGGTTTGAAAATTAAATTACGTGAGCTAGCCCGGCTAGTGTGAAACGGCGCTTAGGTAACACCATAGATAATAGAAGAGAGGTAACACTAGATGCGATGAATAACAAAATTTTTTTAAGACAGGATAGTTCAGTGGAGTATGTATTATATTTCTTTAAAAACATTGAACTTTAATCTGCAAAATGTTTCTCTTTTCAATAGAAAAAAAATCAATTTTTATATTTATATGTACTTGGACAATAATCATACTCTTCTAAGATAATTTGAATTATTATGCCTTTCTATATTGGAAAAGTATTTTAAAATTAAGAGGGTCGTCCTTTTTTGTAATCCACTTTCATTCAGAGATAATGAAAATAGTGGATACTTTTCTAACAGACCTCGTATATTTAGTTTTTCGCAGTACGTGTTTGAGTAGATAACTGAGAAACTGGTATCTTTGCACCATTCTTTGTGGAATATCTTCTATTGCCGGCTACACATGAAGGAGAATTTGGAACGATTTGATCTGGCACCGATCAATCCCCGCTTTCGCTTTGCTCCGTACGTTAGTTGCTATTGGCAGTCCAGATCGTTGAAACATTGGGTCCTTTGAAAGTTCTGTTGCGTCACGGATTACAACATGTATTGTGTCTGTTAGTGGCTGACCACATGACAGACGATTTATAAGTATTTCTGTTAGTACGTCTGGATTTAGGGTATTATTGTTAATAATAATTATGGAATGCACTCGTGAAATCTTGTCTGAATTCATAGAACTTTATAAAGAGCATGTTTATGGAAAATAAGAGATAAAAGTTACATGAATAAGAATCTGAAGCAACAAGCTTACGAAGACCTGGTAGAGTTTATGAAAAGTAGTCTCATTTTGACGCACTTCCTGTACTAAAGACATGCCCATATTTTATTTTTTCTTTAATCCACTTTTTTATCCATCTGAACCGACCTACTTGCTTTTTCCTTTTTTTTTCGCTTCAGGCATATTTTACGCGAAAATATGCCGTCAGGATTTCATACTAGTATAAAATATCTGTCCTACCCCCTTCAATTTCCAGATATTTTGCCATTAACCAACCGATTTGTTCTGTTAACGATCTGATATTTCATCTTTGCGTGTGTGGACATAAAACTATCAGATCTTTGGCAAATCAGATCAGCAGTACAGAATGGCAGATTTGGACGGCGGGCCGGTTCGCTCAAAATTCCCCTTCGTGTCTGGCCGGCTCTTAATATTTTCTGTTAAAACAGTAGGTCCGCCTGTCGATTTGACCTTGCAAATGCAATGTTTTTCCCCACATCTTTTAAACACATTGAGTATGTATAATATTAGCATCAGGATAGGCCTCGACAGATTGTTCCATGCGAGACTGCGTAGAGTGAGACCAACTTCTATCTGCATTCTGTGTACCACTGTGAATATATGTCATCATAATAAATGCGTCTCGTTTCAGTGTAAACGGCATTTTTACTCAACAAAGATTAATTTGTAGAAAAGCACAGAAACACTGCTAAATTGTACAGACAGGCATAAAAACACGAAAAATTACGAACGTCTTTGGATTGACATTTAATCTAAGGTCCGTCCTAGTTGGTGATTTTTCCTTGGCAATTTCTGAAATGCCAACTTAAAAAAATCAATTTACTGCGCACCAAAACAAATTTGGTCACGTGTGACTCGGACATTTATGAAGACACTGTACAATATTTGTCGTATATCAAAAATGCGTTAGAACAAATTATCAATTTTATTATATGAAGTAATAAAATTAAAACAAATGACAAGAGTACAATCACAGTCTAATATTAAAAAAACAGTCTAAAAAATTTGCAAACTTTAAATACATTACTCAGTGATGTAAAATTAAAAAAGTCATCAGAAAAATGTATCAAAATAAATATGTAAGCTATTACACATTCGGAATTAAGGAGTTTTCAGCCTAGCCAAATGATTAATTTATAATTGATATTAAATATAAAACAGTTATCACCTTGTGACTTTGTAAAAAAGATAAAATGCAGTTACAATGGAATGATTTCAATAATAAAAGAAAATTAAACAGCATTCCAGTGCTCTGCTCGCCATAATAAAACAAACATATTTGGCTTTGAAGAAACAGAGTTTGCTACAGGGCTAGGTAGAGGAGTTCCAACACTAAAGGATATATCGGTATATCTTGACAAAAGGTTACGGTATCCTCTGCCAATGGTTGCTAATAACGGGGTGTTATCATGGCTACCATTATTACTTCTACCAACAGCCAGGGGAACTATCGCTCTCACTTCCTCTTCATAGGGGCGGAATATAGTAATCGGACGCAATGTGTTCTTTTCTGCTATTATTACACAACCCCAAGTAGTTCCTATATATAGTTCTTCTTTTAACACTACCAGGCTTGTTACCTAAAATGATTTTTAAGAAAGCTTGAGAAAAGTATCTTTCAGTGAAAATCTATATACAGGTTCAAAAGTCCCCATGGTACATCGGCCATTACGTGAGAGCGATAAAGTAAGTCATAGAAATCCGTGCGATAGAGAAGGATGACTATAATGAAGGCGTCTCATAGTCACCACCCGTTTCGCCCTTCCATAAATAAGATCCACTTCCACTTGTAATTCAGCAACCGGTGGTCATCTTTGTTTTTGACGTTTGTCTTTTCTTTAATAGATGTCACTACTTATACAATTCCGACTCCAGTATTCCGATATGTTAATACAATCCGTTAACAGAAGGCAAAGTATACTTAAATAACAACTAAATGAACTTTAAATGCACCTGAGCACTATACTCCATTTGAATAACTTCTCAGTAGGGGAAACAAGGTCACTAGATTTACAAACAGAGGTATCTACTAGCTACTGTAAAAAGTTTTCTTTGTTATGCGCTATGCTGCCCTCTGTTAAAGGATTGTATTAACATATCGCAATACCAGAGTCGGAATTGTATAAGTAGTGACATCTATTAAAGAAAAGGCAAACGACGAAAATAAAGATGACCACCGGTCATTGAATGGAAGTGGATCTTATCTTATTTGTGGAAGGGCGAAACGGGCGGTGACTATGAGATGCCTTCATTATAGCCATCCTTTCTCTATCGCACGGATTTCTACGACTACTTTATCGCTCTCACGAAGCGGCTGATGTACCATGGGGACATTCCGAACCTGTATAAAATGTTACATAAACACAAAGAATGTACTTATAACATGAAGTGAATAAATATCATTTACTTTTTTGTTTGCCATTTTTTATCGGAATTTGTTAAAATTTAAAAAATTACATTTCATTTATATTAGCCAATAATAGCAATGGTAGGACTAAACACTTGGTTGATTACCACGTCATTGGTTTAGACTTCTTGATGTTTCAGAAGACATGTTGCTTTGTTCCAGTGTTGCCAACCATAGCAGAATTAAGCTATTTGTGGCAGAGTGATGTAGTGGCAACAGAACAAATGTGGACGAAATGTAGACATTTCCACTTCATAAAATACGAGTTTTTGGTTTTAATTCCTTTGACCTTTTTCATTTTTTATAATTTGTTGGAAGTAAATTGTGCTGTACAGTGTCCCAATTTGGCAACATGGCAATGTTCCTAGTGCGAACACAACCAAAATATCTAGAACTCTCCAGCACTTCCGGTTATACTGAAAGTCGACACCAACTTCGTTATTTTCAATGGGACACCCTATATATTATTGCATTTTCGGATTCTACAAAGTAATTTCAAGATCATGTAGAGAATCTGCTGCTTTTTTTCCGTAAATAACAAACAAATTAAAATAATCCTCATAAGTATAATTTAAACGACCCCCAGACAGTTTTATAAAAGTGTGGGAAGTTTTACTTTTAATTCAAAAGAAACTGCTGCTGAAAGTCATCAAGTGCTGTTGGAAACTTATGGTGAACATACTCCATAGACAAAAACATGTGACTATTGGTTTCAACGTTTCAGAAATGGTGATTTCGATATAGTTGACAAAGAATGCCCTGGTCAACTGAAAAGGTTCAAAGATGAGGAATTGGAAGCATTACTCGACCAAGATTCATGTCAAATGTAAAATGAATTTGCCGAATTGTAGAATGTTGATCGCATGATAATTTCCAAACATTTAAATACATTCGGTATGATTCAAAAACAAGGAAATTGGGTGCCATACAAATAGAAGCTGAGAGTTGTTGAACGGCATTTTTTAAGTGTAAACAATTGCTTTAATGTCAAACAAGAAAGGGTTTTTGGCGTCGTATCGTCACTAACGGTGAAAAATGGATACGCTACGATAATCTTAAACGTAGAAAACTGTGGGGTTTACCTGGTCATGCATTAATATCGATGGCAAGGCCGAATATTCATGGTTCAAAGCTCATGTTCTGTATTTAGTGGGACCAGCTTAGTGTTGTGTACAATGAGTTGCTTCAACTGAATGAAACCATCACTAGTGAACGCTACAGAATACAATTGATGCGTTTGAGCTGTGCATTGAAGGAAAAACAGCTGCAATTCGAGCAAAGGCACGATAAAGTAATTTTTCAACATGACAGCTCTTGATTACATGTTGCTCATGAAGTTAAAAAATACTTAGAAACGGTGAAATGGAATGTTTATCCCACCCACTATATTTACCAGTTATTACTCCATTGGATCGATTGGTGGATAGCATCAAAAGATGAGTTGTTCTTTTGATGAGGAATCCATATGCTGCCAGAAAAATGGGTAGCGATAGACAATACTTTGAAAAATAATAATGTACACAATTTTTCACACTAAAGCCTTGACTTTAAAAAACAATCCCTCAAAATTAATTCACAGCCCTAGTAGTTATGTACGAACTTCCACAAACTATATCAGACACAGTAAATATTCGAAATGAAATATTTTGTAATAATTTTTTTTGCGCAAGAGTAAAATTTCAAACATTGACAAAATTCATGTTAAATAATTTTAATTAGTCTTTTTAATAAAATTATTTAAAAATTGGAACCAATCTTCTGTTTTACAATTGATCACATAATTTTAAATTTCAAATTCTTAGCATCACTAGAAAGAAACGAATTTTAAAAAAATATTTCAAAATGCTTACTAACCTGACAATTTGTCGGACTTAAGTGCTCCTCGATGGCGATAGATTTTAGACTCTCAGAGCAAGGCACCAGTTTGGAACAGTCCAGTTTATTAACGATGCTTCTCGTCTTAGTGTCCCACTGATATACAATACAACCAGGACGTACGTAAGACCAGACATTATTGTCGACAGAAACCAAATTCATTACATCCACCTTTTCTATCACAGGTTGATAGTGGTTTAGAAGTTCGTGACCGGCAACTACATGATCTTTTATAGTGTATATCGATATTTGTCCATTCATTTCCCCACACCATAATTCACAACAACTAAAACACAAATATATAAAAAATTGTTACAACTCCAGAGCCTTCATAAATGATTACAAGCCACATGACCAGTAATTTTATTTCATTCACGTTGGCAATTAAATTTTGTTAAAATTACATTAAAACATTTTGTTTCATCGGCTGTGATTGGTGCAATTTTTCACTAGATTCATTACCAGTACCAATCGTGCAGTGTTGGGTTACCTGCTCGGTGGTCACGTGGCTTAAGAGTGCACCTAATTTCTTCGTTCTATTTTTATATATTTAACATGTTAACGGAATAATATTGTAATGTATTTTGTGATTATATAGACTAGGCGGTATCTGTTTTGGTTTGGGAGAATCGTATATCCACGGAGATTTTTGGCTTTCAAATATCACTAGAAATTAAAATTTCTCTATACGCATAAAAAAAAACGTGGGCTTAAGGAGGTTTATCGGGTACGGAGATACATCTAAAAGTCTAACGGGAGTTTCTGTACATTCGCTAGTGACCAAAGTACTAAGCCTTTAGATTTGACAACGTGCACTTGGCTGGCTTTGTTTGGATGCCTAAGCTTGAAATATACATCATATGTTACACCTGCGAATTTCAAATAATACGCTACGTCGAGAACCGCGGAGTTGCTATCACTCATATGGACGTTAAGTTAATCAACAATAGCAGTTTGAAGGAGAATTATTATACATTATGTATCTTACAAGTACCTAATTGATTTCTACGAGCTGTCATACGGTTCCTTAGATATCGGTTTCCTATTTATACAAGTTGCTGTAAAAACTGTTTGTCAATTGCTGCGCATTCTAGATGGAAAGACCAAAAAAATCTGCATTTTCATAAGACTGTACTAAATCGTGAAAAATTGTTTTATTAATATCTCGTCCCTTAGGTATCCAAACTAGTCATAATTTTTTTTGAGGATTTTCTTCATATTAATAAGCTTAACCTTAACTTTTGGCGGCACAATTATGTTAAAAAAATTCGAAAAATGTCATATTTTTCTTCCTATTTAATTATGTATCTTTTCAAGAGTTGATTTTAGGCGAAAATGGAAGAGGAAAAAAATGTTTGTAATTAAATTTTTTACAAAATATGACTAGTTACAAATTGAATGATTCGTGATTATTATTGTAAAAATCGAAAAAATCGCCAAAAATGGAGTTAAAAAACATTACTTTTTAGGGAATTGTTTAGGGGTCTTTAAATTGGGTATAGGATCTTCATACTTGGCTCAAAAACTTCATGATTCTACATCAGGGATGCACAGACTTATACGGAACAGGGGCCACTCGGTAAAAATATAAGCCAAGGACAGGCCACTACAAACAATATTTATTAACACAAAATTTTTTATTTTTAAATAGTATGAAATACAATGATAAAAATAAAATAACCTTCAAAAATGTTTGTTGTAATAATTATGTAATCATTACAATGTAATATTTTATGTTTTATTATTTTGATGCATGACATTGCATTGAACTAACAAGTTTTTTTATATTTGGCTCCACATTACTTGTAGCCACACGTATAATTGCTTCCAAATTTTCATTTGCCAGACGGTTTCGGTTTTTCGTTTTGTTAAGTTTCATCACTGAAAACGTTTGTTCACAAATATACGTCGATCCAAATAAGCTTGCTCATTTCAATGCATTTATTCGCAACTCTTTATAAGCGTTTTTATCAACGCAACGGTAGAAGTTGAGTAAATTACCTTCATTAAATTTGTTTCTTAAATTATCATCATTTTGCATGTCTATTAATTCCAGCTGCATTGCATTAATTCCAAAGGATTGCTGAAAATGTCCAATAGCGGTTTAACTTTTTTGAAGTCTACAAAACGATTTTCAAAAGCTTGTATCAAAATATCAATTTTTTCAACATGAGCGAAATTGACGTCAGTTTTATTGAACTTCTCCATAATTTCTTCGTAGTTCAGAAAATGGCCGTAATTGGCTGAATTGATTTGTGTCCTGAAAAGTCTCAATTTGCATTGAAAGGACGAAACATGAGAGTATAGCTGCGAAATCAATTGATCTTTGCCTTGGAGTCGCGTATTTAAGACATTCAAGTGATTTGTGATGTCTACAAGAAACGCTAAGTCACACAGCCAATCAGGGTTGTCGAGTTCGGGGACGTCGTTTTTCTTTTTCACCAGAAATAGTTGGATTTCTTCAATCAAGTTAAGAAATCGCTGTAGTGTCAACCCACGACTTATCCACCTTACTTCAGTGTAAAACAGGAGATCACCATATTCGCTTTCAATATCCTCGAGAAATTGTTTGAATTGTCGGTGATTGAGACCTCGTGATTTTATAAAGCTTACGGTGGGTACTACAACTTTCATAACATTTTCAAATCCCAATAATTTTGAACAGAGGGCCTCTTGATGTATAATACAATGAAACTGCATTAATTCCTTGTTATTTATGTTTTTAGTTTGTAAATATGTTTTTAACAGAGTTACTATCCCAGATGTACTTCCAACCATTGAAGGTGCTCCGTCAGTTGTAATTCCAGATATTTTCGTTAAATCCAAATCCATTATAGAACATTTTTCTAGAAGAGCTTTGAGCATGTCACTTCCCCTGGTTTGACTTGTCAAAGAACTCATACCAATTAGTTCTTCACTCACTTCAAAATTTTGCGTTACACCTCGTAAAAATATTAGTAGTTGAGAAGTTGAACTTATTTATATCTGTAGATTCGTCGAGCGCTATAGAAAAATACTCAAAACTTCTCGATTTCGTAGCTAATTGCTCTTCTATATTATCTGCTAATGCGGTAATTCTTCTTTGAACAGTCATCCGATTTAACTGAATTTTTTCAAACTTCTTTACATTTTCCGGACAAATTTTTTTTGCGCCGATATCCAAACATTGCTTAACAAACTCACCATCTTTAAAAGGCCGACAAGTTTTCGCTATTATTCGAGATATTTCAAAGCTAACTTCAGTGGCTGTTTCAGCATCTTGAATTGGTTTTGTAAACATAGATTGCTGGCCTATTAGTTTCCGTTGTAAAGTGGAAATTCTTTGCGTTCAATTTTCGCCAGTTGATTTGATAAAAATTGGATGCTGGGTTTCATAGTGCCTTTTCACATTATATTCCTTCGAAATAGAAACACTACTCTTGCATATTAAACAGACAATTTTGTTATGTGATGAAATAAAAAAGTATTTTTCGGTCCAAATATAATAAAACTGCCGATTTTCATCTTCAACCTTACGACTACGTTTCTTACTGGGGCCTGGTTTATCCATATCAAAATTAATATTATATGTTACAGTCGGTAAAAGCCAAGTTGGAACGACGAAATATTTACTCGTCAAAGATTATAGTTCTCAAACAGTATAACGTTCGCTTATCCGTAGTCAAAACTTAAACTTAACTGCCCCGGTAGCCGGCGATGCGTCGTATTTATACGAGTCACCAAACATCGAGAACCATCCACTTTGTTCGGAGATCGACGTGTTTCGCGAATCTGTAATCTAGTTGATGCGACAAATTTCTAGTCTCGTAATAATATGCTTGGACCGGAGCGCGGCAAGTAGAATACTTTTAAAATTCATTGGCAGGCCGCATAAACATCGACAGCGGGCCGCGGTATGTGCATCCCTCTTCTACATCATCACACCAAATTTCATCAAAATCGATTTGATAGATTTTGCATAATTTAGCAATCCAGATTTTGAAAAAAAATTGCAATTTTTCAAAATTTTGCACACAAAAACCAAGGCCCTTAGATACTTGAAAATTTAATCACATATAGAAGGGCTCTCAAGCTTTCAAACGTTTTTTGAAAAATTAGAATCCGTCAATTAGGAGAGCTCTGGCGCTTGTTTAAACATTGGTCGAATTTCTGCATTTCACCGACCAGATGAAATATCTTGAACTGTAATAGATATAAGTTACACTTACTTTTCAGTTCCATTAAAAACTCCACACATGCAATTAATGACAGATGTGGATCCGAGTTCTGTCATGACGAACGTACCTTCGGCGGCAGTAGGAGTTAAAGGTTTTGTTTCAGAATTAACCAAAAACAGTCTACCATTGGATAATGCACATGCAACTCTTCTCAATGTCGGTAAATAAAGTAACGCTTCTACTTGAGTATATGGCTCATTTTCTAAGGTATAAAAGAATAATTTACGACCATCACTTGCCCTAAAAAGAGAAAAATATATAAACTATATCACCACTTGTACAAAACTAGAATAAATGTGATTTTCATCACAAAAAAAAAGATTTATTCAGTTTTTTAAATAACAGAATAATTTTTATATATACTAACGAATATGCGTGTATTCTCCCAACATAATCACCTATCCAAACTGAATCACTAACGATACAGGCAGCAGTTGCTTTTATAGGCAAATTCATTGTGTGGTATTGAAGCCAACCCCTGTCTGCGGCAAGGAGGAGGTCCATTCTGGAATTGGCGCACATTAACCACATTTCTGAGCCAGACAGACCATCATCTAAAAAATTTAGTTTCTTTTTGTTTACAGCTTTTTACAGTTACTCATTATTATACCTGTTATATACGTTACAGGAGCACTAGCTGTAGCCACCACTGGGGCCTGGTGCTTCAATGATACCACATCACTTAAGTGAGTAAATTCTGGAGCACTTGCAATCGATACTATCTGACTTGCTGAAGGTCGGTCTTTGGGTTGTTGAGACCAACACAAGACCATTAAATCTAAGAAGTAACTCGGATAGAGTGTTTCCTAAAAATATTTATAAAAATGTCTCTTAAAATGTGTCTGTTTTAATTTTTAATTTTCATAAAACCCAAAAATGAGTAGAGAAAGTGGTAATATTTGTACAACAACCTTTTACTTACAGCATTTTATGCAAATTATGTTACTCACCCTATATGTCAGAGGAGGTCTTCCACCTTCTAATATACATTCTTTAACGGATTCATGTCCCTCGAAAGGCTGATGGAGAGTTAATAACTCATAAATGAACATTCCGAACGAGAAACAATCCACTTTTTCCGTATATTCCTCTTCTCCATTATATCTCATAATTTCTGGGGCCATGAATCCTTCCGTTCCTCCAAATCCTTTTGTTCCAGATGGTAAAGTAAGACGACTAATACCATAATCAGCAACTTTTATGTGGACTTGATGATCTGGATGGTCAACAAAAGGAGGTGGCATTTCCCACACCAATACATTTTCTGATTTTAAATCCCTATAAATTATATGTTGGCGATGAAGATATTCTATCGCTTTTGCAACCTAAAATAAAGAATATTTTACACTTTCTCTGGAGTTTTATAACAATGTGTCACCTGTAATATTATCGCTTGTAAAGTATATGGCCCAACTTTTGCACCAGATCTCCTATAGTGTCTCAAAACTAAATCTAAAGCTCCTTGTGGGGCCAAATCTAGGACAAGAGCCAGAGGACTAGTGCAGACTCCAACAAAAGGCACAATATTTGGATGTCTCAGGGACAGTAGGATATTTAACTCCTGTCTGGCTGTACAATATGCCTTGCATGCGTATTGTAGTGGGTCTCTATCCCATTTTCCTTGAGCAGCCTTAAAAGCTATAAGGGCAGACTGTCGAGCATTAGGTCCTGGCTGAACTGGTTGCAACATCTTCATTGCTACGTCAATCATATTATTTGTTCCCCTTATCTTACAAGTGCCTTTAAAAACAAAACCAAAGGCTCCACGACCCAGTAGCCGGCCTTTTTTTATGTTTTCGGGTTTTATTATGTAGCGCTCTCCCAAATCCATAAATATCTAAAATTTTAATAGCTACTAATTTTTTAAACTACTTTATCAGTTAATATATTATAAACTCATATGACACGAGTAGTTGTTTTAATTGGTCTTCATGTGTTTATTGTTATCACAGAAAGTTACCTTTGACATAGAAAGAATTGGAAGAAATCTGTGAGAATATGACAGTATCATACAATCAGTGTGGTTTATTTCAATCACCGAACAAAATAATCAGCTGTTGACTGACTATACTATGCACCCTAGTTGAATGTTTGAATCTAACCTTATCTGTTTTGACATCCATAATTTCTTTATTAAGTACTCAATTAGCCCTTTTATTCTGTAAGTAATAACATCATTGTGAAACAGTAGCCGTTAATGAGACTTATTCTATTCTGTATCTGAGAATAATATCGTTATGAAACAGTTTTGAAGTTAGAATATTACCATTAGCAACCGACTCCTCTAGAGCAGTGATATTCAATCAGGGGTATGTTTACCACTCAAAGTACGTGAAGACTTATTAAGCGATCTGTAAAGAAAAGGGTTGAATACCACTGCTCTAGAGTAGTCTTTTTGTTGATGTTAATGTTAATCAGATCAATATTTCCTTGAATTTTAATTTTATATTATGAAAGATGTACAGAAAAGGAGCAACAATATTTATAGTATATTAAATTATAATTTATTTCTAGATTTATGTTTGTTAAGTCAAATTAGATGCAATTAATGACTGACAGAAAAAACTGAAATTGTCACTCGATTATGAATTTTAGGTCAAATAGTTCAACTGTATCACAAGACAAATATATACCATATATTTCATGTAAAAACATTAGTTTGTGTGGTTAGAGTTTAAAATTGTAAGGATTGAATTATGAAATAACATTTCTAAAAATTGTCTTTAGGATTCGAAGTCTTTATTCAGTGATGTCTGCTAATGACAAATTACAGAATAAGTCTGTAAATATAACTTCGAAACTGTTCTAATCATGCGTAGTCGGAAATATACATTCGAGTTTTCTTCAAACGTTTCAGAATTTCGCAACGTTTTGTGGGTACACATGTCTGCATGTGATCCATATAATCATTACGTTAAGTGCGCCAGCCTGGACCAGTTTGCTAATTGCAAGCGACAAGAAACAGACAAAAATTTGCAACACGGGACAGACACTATGATTCCAGGAAAAGTGTCAGTGAAGTTGGCAGTTTGGCGCCAGGGACTGGAGTCTGATACCTGTCAGCGACTCCACAAAGGACTCTCCAATGAACGCTTGCCCTGACAACATTTCTTTTTACTGCACTTGTGTCTTCAATAAAATATACCTTTTATTTACTGTTGAGAGACAGTTTCATTTTACTGTACACCAAAAGCAACCCTCTGTTTATTTTAGTTTCATTCGAACTTGATTCGGAACCATTCTGAACTATCCGAAGTAGTTCTTGCTCCCAAGTACAAATTATTTAGAACTGTATTATTTGGTGCATACATAGTTATTATTTGCGAAGATCGCCTTGATTATTTCCCGCAAATTTCGTAATTTTTTTCATTTCATGGTTTTCTTTTACGAAATGTATCGAGTATTTCCACATTAATATTTGCTAGTTCCAGCTTGGAAGAAATCGATGGAATTTTGGGGGTTATTTTCTTAGAATTACATAATGTTACAAATGAAATTTTTTTTTTTAACATACCGTTCATCTATTTACAGATAAAGAATTTTCAGAACGCTTTATGTATTTTTTTCTTTCCCATGAATAAATGTTTTTTTTTTACTTTTTAGGGCGAATAGAAATATTCGCACATTTCTGTCAAATACATACAATGATATTTGTACCTTAAAATTGACATTGGATATAAAAGAATTTCACTTCCACCAGAGAAAATTATTGTAGGTTTTTTGTGGTATGCAAAAAAATTATTTTGAGGTTAAGGTATAACCCAGAGACAAAAAACAAACAGATGAAAACTTTGATGAAAATGATTAGATTTTTAACTATTAGTTCACTACTAAACACACCAGTTCACTGCAAATGTTACAAATTATAATGCGTTTTGGTTTTCAAAAGAATCCAGATAGTTCTGAATCGTTCAGAATTTTGTCTATTGCGTTTATAATTTTGCGCAGATTCTAGACTGTTCAGAAGTAGAGAACCCGACCAAAGCTTATAGTAGTAATACTCACTGTGTCTGGAGCTATTCGAGCTAACGGACAGTCCCCATGAGTTGGACAAGTTACAACTTTAGAATTGTAAGCAGCCAAAATACATTCTTCTACCATCCAGCAGTAATAAACAGGCTTTTCAGACCCATTTTGCTCGTCTATTTGGACTCCGGGATGCCCCTCCATTGAAGGAATTCGACTAGATCCTGCCGAATCTGGTCCAACTCCACTGTCACATTCAGAAGTATAGGATTCCTGAGATTTTCTTATTCTGTACAAATTCTGGTACCCTGTAGCCTGTTCTTGGTCCTGACTGATTGCATCTAGGAGATGCGAATTGGAGTGGGGGAATTCATTTAAATTCAGTTCGCTTTCGTTGCTTAAGCACTGAGGACATGGTATTATGCGAGTGATTAAATATTTTCCTTCAGATGTATGCACGAATCTGGTGCCAAGAGTTGGATACCAATCCTCAAGAAGAATATCGATATGGTCAACTGCCAAAGCTAAAAGTTGAGCTGTGCACTCTAAAGTAGGGTCTATAACTAAGTGCTCCTTAATGTTATTTTCAGTATTTTCTGTTGGTATGGGTTTAATAATTAAAGATTCCACTGGAAAGTATATTTCTAGAATGGACATGTTTTGTAAATCCACGTCACACCATATACCCTCCTGTTTAAGTTTAAATCTAAAAAATTAATAAAACATGTTTGCAACATTAAAAAATATCATATGTTCATATCAACACAGACACGAAATATCAGTCATCTTACCTTAATTGTCTATAATGTGCTGCAGAATTATGCAAAACCTCCTTCATTCGAAATAGCGTGACATCTCCATATTTCAGTTGCAGCCCTGTTTGCCAAAGTACCCATTCTGCTTTAAGGTCTAGAAGCTTAACTAACTCCATGTCTTGTGCCACATCTTTAGGCAGTATAAAAAATGATCTAATAATATCAATTATCGCGTCATCAGCTAATATTCTGGAGATAAGTCTCGACCAGAATCCAGAAGGAAAATAAGACATGAGCAGAAGACGTGTCATGGACTTGTTTGACGTTTGACATTTTAACTGATAATGTATTTCTTCGACCTGTTGCTCTGAAGAATATAGTTAATTATTTTCTTGTCTCTTATAAATTTGATTATTTTAAAAAATGTATCACTACTACATAAATTCAATAAAGCTCTGAAAGTAGAATGCAAAATAGTGAAGTGGGGGATGAAGCCTAATGAGTTAATTGCTGCTCGCATTTCCAAGTTCACTCTCTTTTTGATTTGCGCATTTCAGGACTATAGTGAAATTTATCCAGTTGTACAGAATAACCATTTCTGTATTCTACGTAACTTAATTAAGGGGGGAAATCACATAGGAGGCTGATTTTCAGGCGTTTCTCATTAACTTTTTTGAGTAGAACCACAGACAAAATAGCTATCGCCACAGACTGCTCCTGGAATAGGCCAGCAGTTTTAAATTTCCGAATTGCCGGTAGAGTACACCACCAGCAGAATTTTAGGAAGAATCAAATACAGCGGCCCGCATATCTAAGCGTATCCTAGCAACATATAAACAAGACTTTAATGTTGCCAGGCGTACTTACGGTACACTTTTTTATCAACATCTGTTTTTTGCGTTACTGTATTTACTTCAATGTATGATGTAGGTATTGATAAAAATGTTTTTAAAGAATCAACGAATATCTATGTATGTATCATATGATATTCTGCAGTGNTGTTTGTCAATTGCTGCGCATTCTAGATGGAAAGACCAAAAAAATCTGCATTTTCATAAGACTGTACTAAATCGTGAAAAATTGTTTTATTAATATCTCGTCCCTTAGGTATCCAAACTAGTCATAATTTTTTTTGAGGATTTTCTTCATATTAATAAGCTTAACCTTAACTTTTGGCGGCACAATTATGTTAAAAAAATTCGAAAAATGTCATATTTTTCTTCCTATTTAATTATGTATCTTTTCAAGAGTTGATTTTAGGCGAAAATGGAAGAGGAAAAAAATGTTTGTAATTAAATTTTTTACAAAATATGACTAGTTACAAATTGAATGATTCGTGATTATTATTGTAAAAATCGAAAAAATCGCCAAAAATGGAGTTAAAAAACATTACTTTTTAGGGAATTGTTTAGGGGTCTTTAAATTGGGTATAGGATCTTCATACTTGGCTCAAAAACTTCATGATTCTACATCAGGGATGCACAGACTTATACGGAACAGGGGCCACTCGGTAAAAATATAAGCCAAGGACAGGCCACTACAAACAATATTTATTAACACAAAATTTTTTATTTTTAAATAGTATGAAATACAATGATAAAAATAAAATAACCTTCAAAAATGTTTGTTGTAATAATTATGTAATCATTACAATGTAATATTTCATGTTTTATTATTTTGATGCATGACATTGCATTGAACTAACAAGTTTTTTTATATTTGGCTCCACATTACTTGTAGCCACACGTATAATTGCTTCCAAATTTTCATTTGCCAGACGGTTTCGGTTTTTCGTTTTGTTAAGTTTCATCACTGAAAACGTTTGTTCACAAATATACGTCGATCCAAATAAGCTTGCGCATTTCAATGCATTTATTCGCAACTCTTTATAAGCGTTTTTATCAACGCAACGGTAGAAGTTGAGTAAATTACCTTCATTAAATTTGTTTCTTAAATTATCATCATTTTGCATGTCTATTAATTCCAGCTGCATTAATTCCGGCGCATTTTCGGGTGAAATGTTGAAAGGATTGCTGAAAATGTCCAATAGCGGTTTAACTTTTTTGAAGTCTACAAAACGATTTTCAAAAGCTTGTATCAAAATATCAATTTTTTCAACATGAGCGAAATTGACGTCAGTTTTATTGAACTTCTCCATAATTTTTTTGTAGTTCGGAAAATGGCCGTAATTGGCTGAATTGATTTGTGTCCTGAAAAGACTCAATTTGCATTGAAAGGACGAAACATGAGAGTATAGCTGCGAAATCAATTGATCTTTGCCTTGGAGTCGCGTATTTAAGACATTCAAGTGATTTGTGATGTCTACAAGAAACGCTAAGTCACACAGCCAATCAGGGTTGTCGAGTTCGGGGACGTCGTTTTTCTTTTCCGCCAGAAATAGTTGGATTTCTTCAATCAAGTTAAGAAATCGCTGTAGTGTCAACCC